CCTGCTTCCTGGACCCCCCATCTTACCTTTATGGCTACTATTTTGCTCCAGAGGGCTTTTCACAAAGAGTGAGAGACATTCAATTCACTACTCAGGGAAGAACAAGACAGTGTCGTACTAAAGAAGACATATAAGGTGGCTTCCGTGCAGCTCCAAAAAATGCATGCCTTGAAAAACGGGGCTGATTCTTCAGATTTATGGTAATTTCAACTTTTTTCACAAATGTACTACTTTTTTATATCCCAGGTAATCTACAAACCTATCAGACAACTGACAGCTGACTACATTTTTTGCTCAATACCAAAATCCTTTATTTTGCTCCAGATGTAAGTCCTTGACTTTCTTATGATTCTGCCTAGTGTCTGTACCTAAATTCATTTCATTGCTAGCTCTTAGAGAAATACTGTTTAGCATAATAAAAAAGGTAAATGTTGTATAACATATTTCCCAAAAACTCAAGATGTTAACAAGTATTCTGTGCATACACGCACAGCATTTACTAATGTAGCAAAAGCAACTGGCATGAAAAATTAGAAAAAAATCCACATTTTCCATTTCTTGAGGAATGTATCTTTTAGTGCATTTACCCAGTCCCTAAGGAATCAAAACGAACCACGATTTCACCTTCTCCACGTACGCAGACTAAAAACAACAGAAGTTGTTAGATCCCCAAGTATTTCCATGAGAAAATAAAGAAATTAAATAAAGACCTTCAGAAATTCCTATGCAGAAGGGACTAAAGCAATGTCGTATGAGCAGAGAGATGCAGATGCTGGAACAGAAGGCAGTGTCCAGTGAAGGATCCATACATGCTTGATCCTGTCCCTGTTTCCTGCCAGGTGGGAGCGGATGCTTCAGAAGCAGGAAGAGGTGAGGGGTGGGATAAAGTACCAAGGGAAGCCAGCCATGGGGCCATGTAAACATCCAAGATACTGAAAAGGAACTGGTTCACAATGGCATCAGTTTAGGACCACTGCCACTGCCCTTCTTCTCACACATATAAATTGCTCAAGAGTTTGCTTGCTAAGTACTATTTTTCGAACTCAAATCGCCATGGTACGAAGATACACCACTATCCACAAGGGCTCATAGTCTGAGTCACCAAGATAACATGGCTCAGATTCAAAGTACAGCAGACAACAAAGAGTATTACCTCAGGACTAAAGGTTGCTCATTTTGGTGAATTTCTATCCTTTAGGAGAAGGATATATTCAAAAACTTCATGGAAAATGTACCTCACAAGAATATGGAGCTCACCAAGCACAATTCATGAGAGCAGAAGGAAGTAAAAGCATCAAAACACTTGAGCAGTGTCTGAAAAAAGATAACAAAGAGGGAGGAGACACTGGGTGACAGGCTGGGCCATGCATCCTAATTTATTAAAAACAAACAGGAAACCATTTCCCTTCACTTAGAATGGCTACTACCAGGAAAACAGCAAGCGCTGACGAGGACACAGAGAAACCAGACCTCTCGAGCACTGCTGGTGGGAATGTAAAATGGTGCAGCGGCTACGAAAAACAGTATGGTGGTTCCTAAAAAAACTAGACACAGAATTACCATTGATCCAGCAATCCCACTTCTAGGTATAAACCCAAAAGAATTAAAAACAGGGTTTCAAAGAGATATTTGTACACCCAGCTTCACAGGAGCGCAACAGCCAAAAGTGAGAACAACTCAAATATCCATCAGTGGAGAAAAGGATACACGAAGTGCGGTATATCCAGCACACACTGGAATATCATTCAGCCTTAAAGAGGAATGTAATTCTGATACACACAGGAATAAATCTTGAAAACACTATGCTAAGTGAAATCAGATAGACGCGGAAGGACAGATAGTCTATGAATCCACACAGATGAGGTACCTACAACAGTCAAATTCACAGAGTCAAATTAATTCATGAGGGGAGACGGTAAGGGAATGTTACTGCTTAATGGGTAGAGTTTCTGTCTGGGATAATGGGAAAGTTCTGGAGGTGGAGGGCGACAACGGTTAAACAATGTTAATGTAATCAATGCCACTGAATTACACGTAAAAGTGGTTAAGACCGTTACAATCTTATTTATATTTACCACAATTAAAAAACCAACAACACACAAACGACAAACCTAGAGTGGCTCCAGTCATGTCTGCCCAGCAGAGGTGGGGCCTGGAGAACATGCTGCACCCCTGCCCTGCCCTCCCCTCAGGGCCCCTCACAACAGTGCTGCACACCCTCCTAGTCTTCCACCCAGAAGCCCTAAGCCCTGCATTTCCTCTTTGTTAAGAGCTTTGTCCAGGAATCTCAGGGCCATATGTCTTAGGGAGACTGGGATATCCCCCAGTGCTAGGGGTGAACCTTGATTCTCACAGACCAGGTAATTTCAAATGTTTTGTTCTCAGGGACCATTTACACCCTTCAGCATTACTGAAGACCCCAAAGAGTTTTATATATAAAATACATATATAAATACATATTTTTAAAATATAGATATATAAATATATAAACACATATA